GCATGGGGGGGGGTCAGAAGTCAGTGTCAGGACCTCTCTCCGTTGCTCTCCCTCAGAGTCTCTCATTGAACCTGGAGTTTACTGTTCTATGCAGGCAGGGTTGGCTAATGAGTCCCCAGGGCTTGCCTGTCTCTACTGCTCCTGCTCCGGTGCCGTGGTTACAGATGTGGTCCTGGCTTTTATGTGGGTGCTGGGGATATCAGCTCAAGTCCTCATGTCTTCGCACAAGTGCTTTAGTCACTGAGCCATCTGCTCTCCCCCACAGCATTCCTTCTTTTTTCTTTTGAGACAAGGGCTCCTCATGTGTGCCTCACTGGCCTGGAACTCATGATGTAGACCAGGCTGATCCTAAACTCACAGAGATCCGCCTGCCTCTGCCTTCCAAGTGCTAGGATTAAAGGTGTGCACAGCCACGCCCAGCTAACACACCATTTCCTGTGAAAGAGACTTTTCAGGAGTGTATGCAATAATTCCACTTCTGTCTTAATTGGCTGAGGTGTAGTCACGTGGTTATATGTTGTAGAATATTATTTTAAGTTGTGTTACATTTGTTTATGGTGTGGAATATTTGTCTTAATGATGTAAAGATGTGTTGCATTCTTTTACGTTGCATTTGTTTAACTCTGTGAAGCTGTGATTCTTTGCCTGTCTAAAACACCTGGTTGATCTAATAAAGAGCTGAATGGCCAATGGCAAAGCAGGAGAAAGGATAGGCAGGGCTAGCAGGCAGAGAGAAAAGAAGGAGCAAGAGAACAAGGAGAGGATGACCATCAGAGGCCAGATACCCAACCACCCAGCCACTCAGCTACCCAGCCACTAAACCACCCAGCCACCCAGTCACCCAGACACCCAGCCACCCAGCCACTCAACCACCCGGCCACCCAGCCACCCAGTCAACCAGTCACCCAGCCACCCAGCCACCCAGTCACCCAGCCACCCAGCCACTCAGCCACCCAGCCACCCAGTCACCCAGCCACCCAGTCACCCAGCCACCCAGACACCCAGTCACCCAGCCACCCAGACACCCAGCCACCCAGTCACCCAGACACCCAGTCACCCAGTCACCCAGCCACCCAGTCACCCAGACACCCAGTCACCCAGTCACTCAGACACCCAGACACCCAGTCACCCAGCCACCCAGTCACCCAGCCACCCAGCCACTCAGCCACCCACAGAGTAAGAGTGAAAGTAAGATATACCAAAGTAAGAAGAGACCAGAGGCAAAAGGTAGTGGGATAATATAAGTTAGAAAAAGCTGGCTAGGAGCTAGTGAAACGGTTCAGCGGTTAAGAGCCCTGGTTGCTCTTCCAGAGGACCAGGGTTCAATTCCCAGCACTCACACGGCAGCTCACAACTGTCTGTAACTCCTCCCTTGCAAGGGATTCTACACTCACACACAGGCATACATGCAGGCAAAACACTAATGTACATACAATAAAAATAAATTATTTTACTAAAAAGAAAAGCTGGCTAGAAATAAGCCAAGCTAAGACTGGACATTTATAAGAAAGAATAAAACTCCATGTTGGCGATTTATTTGGGAGCTGGGTGGCAGACCCCCAGCACAGCAAAGAGTAAAAAACAACAGTTACACTCACCTGACAAACGTTAGTCAGCTTCCTTTACCTTTCCCCAGCCAGTCCAACCCTGGGGGATTGGGAAATGATGCCTTCTCGGATGAGTGGGTCCCCTCTGTGCATACTGGACAAGGTAGCTGTCCAAGTGAACTACATTCATGGACAGAAGCACTGTTGAGCAATGCCTGAAAGAAAATGTGCCCCTTCCTCCTCAGTGGACAGTGCCCTAAGTCAGGGTACCTGGCAGGGTGACCTGGGCTGGACCTTAACTTCCCTTTATTTCTTTTTTAATTCATAATCTACATAAAAGTATTCTGGCTTGACAGGTCTGGATTCACAACCCCAATTTATAGACGAGCAAACTGAGACTCTGAGGAAGAAATCGGAATGGGATGTGGGTTCAGGCTCTAGGGCAGGTGCTGCCAGCTGACTCTGTCACATCTCTGGGACACTTGGTCCCAGTCCTAGATGGCTGTCAGATGCCCTAGTGTAGAGGGGCTTTATATCCCAGCTGGAGCACGGCACACGGCTCATGCTGCTGTGCCCAGCTTCATCCCAGAATCTAGGCCAGACCATATATGGCTGCACCAACACTAGGGAGAGACAGCTGTTTTCAGTTCAACCTGGAGTTGGTAGGGTCTGGAATTAACCAGATCAGACACAGTCCTAGGTAGCAGCCCAATCAACTTACCCCCAATGCCCAGAGGTTCTTCTCCTGACAGACAACTCAGTCCTTGTTGCTATTTCTGGCTCATATGCTGTCAGCAACACCCAAAATAGTGACTCCAGAGTCATCCTGGTGTGTTCATGTGGGCAGTCTGCCCCTGCGGCCTGGACTAGGGTGTCTGGAGGCTGGGACAGAGCCTTCCCTTTGGCCTAGAGATCAGGTTTCAGCAGGGCACATTCTTGGGACTCTGTAGATGGAGTTCAGAATCTAGGGCTGCCTTGGGAAAAGGTAGGGAAACCATAAGGGCTCTGCAGTCTTAGTGGGAACTCTGAAGGATTCAAGGGTCCTTATAGGGGGAGGGTATCGGGCGAGCTGGTTGAGAGACAGTGCATGCAAGTGCAGCTGGAGCAGAGACCACCCAGTCCCAAAACATGGCAGGATCGAGTCTCTTTCATGGCCTTTGTTATGGGGCCAGGCCATAGTGGTATAAAACCCACAGGGACGCACGGAGCTGTACCTGAAGGGGTTTCAGGAACCTCGTCCAGGATGGCAGCTACTATGGTTTGAGTCTGATATGTCCCCTCCAGGCTCATCTGTTTGAATGTTTGGATCTCAGTGGGAGATGCAGTCTGGGGAGGTTTGGGAGCCTTGGGACACAGAGATATGTTACAGCTGATAGTCTACATTCTAATTTTAGCCCGAGATCTCTGAATCTGGTCTGATGTTGTAGTCACTGCGCTGTTGCTGTATAAAGACACCTTGACCAAGGCCATTTTTATAAAAGAAAGCAGTTAACTGGGGGCTTGCTTGCTGATAGTTTTAGAGGATTAGTCCGTGATCATCATGGCAACAAGTAGACAGGCATGGTGCTGGAGCAGTAGCTGAGAGCTTTGTATACTGATCTTCGGGCAGCAGGACCAAACATTCAAACACATGAGCCTTATGTGGGCTGCTCCCGTTCAAACACCTCACTGAGTTCTCTGACGCCTGGGCATACAGTGTGAGCGGCCTTACATTCCTGCCACAAATGGAGCTACCATTAATTTTGTCAGAAATTGCGAACCATAATAATGACGTCCTTCTTTAAGTAGCTTCTATCAGGTATTTGACACAGAAATGTAGGAGCATCAGGGAGGCAAGGGGCCAGAACCTGGAGAAATCTTCATACTCTTTGTTAGGTCAGACAGAGAAAGCATCGGACAAGTGGGAACAGCCAGGGATGAGGGGAAAAAAACCTATCATTTTACCCTCAAAACCAGGACAGGGCTGTGCTGTTTAGCAGTGAGGAACCCAAGGGGATCTTTCTGTCCTATCTTCCTCCTTTTCTCATGTAGCCCAGGCTGGCCTCAAACTCACTATGTACTGGGGATGACTTTGAACTTCTCATATTTCTGCTTCTATCTTCTGAGTGCTGGGAATGCATGGCTGAGACATGTGCACACATGGTTTATGTCATACCAGATGTGATGATTTGAATGAAAATGGCCCCCATAAGTGCATAGGAAGTGACACTTTTAGCTGTGGCCTTGTTGGAGTAAGTGTGACCTTAGAGGAAATGCGTCACTGGGGGCAGGCTTTGAGACTTCAAATGCTCAAGCCAGGCCCAGTGCCGCTCTCTCTTCCTGCTGTCTGCCAATCCCGATGTAGAGCTCTAAGCCAGCTCTCCAGCACCACGTCTGCCTGCACGCCACCATGCTCCTTGACAACAATGGGCTAAACCTCGGAAACGGTAATCCAGCCCCAATTACATATTTTCCTTTAGAAGAGCTGCATGGTCACGGTGTCTCTTTACAGCAATAGAAACCTTAATTAAGACATGAGGACCAAACCTAGAGCCTGTGCACACTAGGCAAGCACTCTCCTGAGCTACATCCCTAGCCCCTGGCCTGGAAGCTACTATGTCATCTAGGCTGGCCTTGAATTCACAAGGTTAGGGCATAAGCTTGCTGCTGTGTTATTCATGGCATCGTGGATCAAACCCAGAGGTTTATGTAGCCAGGCAAGTGCTGGCCACTGCACTGCAGCCCCCGCACCAGCAGTGAGTTTTTCAATGAGTTTTTCAGACTGTTCACTGATGTTCGTACACTTGTCTTTTGGAGGCAGTGCATTCATGTCACAGTAAGTATATGAGGTGGGAGGACAGTTAGTGGGAGATGCTTCTCTCTCTCTGCCTGTGGGTCCCAGGGACGGAACTCAAGCCCTCAGGTTTGGTAGCACTGAAACTTAAGTCACTTTATTTTAAAGTAAACTTCTCTTGCTTTACTATTTCTGTGTGCAGCATGGTGTGTTAGGGTGTGTACGTTGCCATGGCACGAATGTGGAGGTAAGAGGACACCGTCACGGAGCCCATTCTCTCCTTTATAAGGTGGAGACTGATCTCAGGTTGTCAGGGCTCGTGCTACAAACACTTTTATTTGATGAGCCATCTTGCTGACCCCCAAAAGTGAATTTTGGCCATGGCCCAGAAAGGATGTGACCCTTGGAATTTAGCCATGGGTGAGGGTATGAAAGGGACAGAATGAGGGAGAAACTGCCCAGTCCCCAGCGCCGCATCACACTTCCTCCTGAAACAACACTATCACTAACTCATCCCCTCCACACTCTCTCCTCAGGGAGCCTTGTCACACCCTTAGGCTCCTCCCTCTGCCAGGCTGCTGAGTCAGAACCAGCAAGCCATCCTTAGGCTCCAGGCCTTCATGACAATAAAGCCATTGTCTCACACACATCCTTTATTATGATGAACCTTTTATTATAGAGACAGACTGAATTTTCTTCGGCATAAAGAATTTCTGTATTGGGTCAGGGACTCCACCTGGTGAAAGTGCCACCCAGCCAGCCCTGCCTCTGCCTCAGTGGAGCCCTGACTTGATGGTAACATATCAGGGTCTCTGGAAACAGCAGAGACTGTCATCCCCGGGGCCAGGCATGTCAGGTTGGACCACGCTGGATGGAGGGGTCAGGGCTTCAGGCGCCCCCTGAGTCAGAGCCGCCCCGTTTCCTGCCTCAGCCTGTTGTCCAGAACCTGGAGTTGTCGGAGAAAGCCCGAGTTGGGGCAGATATCTCGGTGGGCCTGCACCGTCTGGATGGCATCGACCAGCGTCATGTTCTCGCAGATCATGAGGAAGGCCAGGACAACCGTGGCTGAGCGGCTTACCCCCATGGCGCAGTGCACCAGCACGCGGTCTGTAGGAAGACCCAACTAGCATTGGCCACCTGCACCACCTCACCTTTGTCATCCCTTCTGTCCACCTGTCCCAACACCCTGGAAACCGGACACTGTCCTCATTGTCAAATGGGGCAAGGGAGGCTCAAGGTCACATAGCAATTTAGTGTAGGGCTAACGTGAGCACTTGGGTCCCCTCTTTTGGCCCAGAGGGGCATCCTCTGATAGCCATTGCAACTCTAGGAGAGGGTCACCAAACTTTCAGAGTCCCTTGGATTTACATCACAGGGAATACCCTCTTCCTTTCCCCTCAGTCTGCTCTCTCTCTCTCTCTCTCTCTCTCTCTCTCTCTCTCTCTCTAACCCATGAAGCCTTGTACCTACTTATGTTTTCTGAGTCTTTGCTAGGTGTTATGATTTCTGCCTAATGGGAAGGCCTCTTTCTAAAGGATATAGTTATACTAGTGACCATAATGATTGTGTGTGTGTGTGTGTTGATGTGGTGGTACACACGAGTGTATGGGTGTGTGCATATGATTGTGTGTGTGTTGATGTGGTGGCACACACGAGTGTATAGGTATGTGTGCATATGATTGTGTGTGTGTACATATGATTGTGTGTGTTGATGTGGTGGTACACACGAGTATATAGGTGTGTGTGCATATGATTGTGTGTGTGTTGATGTGGTGGTACACATGAGTGTATAGGTGTGTGTGCATATGATTGTGTGTGTTGATGTGGTGGTACACACGAGTGTATGGGTGTGTGTGCATATGATTGTGTGTGTGTTGATGTGGTGGTACACACGAGTGTATGGGTGTGTGTGCATATGATTGTGTGTGTGTTGATGTGGTGGTACACACGAGTGTATAGGTGTGTGTGCATATGATTGTGTGTGTGTGTGTTGATGTGGTGGTACACACGAGTGTATAGGTGTGTGTGCATATGATTGTGTGTGTGTTGATGTGGTGGTACACACGAGTGTATAGGTGCGTGAGCATATGATTGTGTGTGTGTTGATGTGGTGGTACACACGAGTGTATAGGTGTGTGTGCATATGTGTACACATGCATGTCAAGGCCATGTGTTGGTTGCTCCTCAGGCTCTGTCTACCTTGGTTTTTTTGAGACAGGGTCTCTTCCAGGCTAGGCTGCCCTGCCAGTGAACCTCACTCAGATATCCTGATTTTCATCTCCCTAACTCTGGGATGACAAGCACACATTCCCATGCCTGCCTTTTTCACGTAGGTTCCAGGGAGTGACTACCGAGCCTCATGGTGCACAGCAAGCACTGTACACCTGAGCCATCTCTCCAGCCCCCATGCTGAATTGTAGCCCTATCTGCAGCTGTCAGGCTCCACGGTATGCTCATTCAATGGTGAGACGGTCGCTGCTGGGGTTGGTACCACAGGCTCCCTACCCACTGGTGCTACCGTCTCATCCCACCCTGACCCCAACCTGCCCAGTCCCGTCCCCAGCAGCTTACTTTGGGGAGTGTTGAGGGCATCTCTGATGTATCGAGCAACAGGCAGAAAGTAGACACTGAGGTCAAAGAAGGGATTATCATCAGCTTCAATGCCATAGTACTCCAGAGGTGTTCCGCGATAAAACTTGGCACCGGTGTCCACCTGAAACTTGCCCGCAGCGACATTCACAACATGGGTGATGCCCAGTTGGATAAGACGATTCTTGTCTCGTGCAGCATACCTGGAGGAAGGGCACATGAGAAGTTAGGGGGTGAAGGTGTACCTCACACCTCTGTTCTCCTCCAAGGGTAGAGACTGGACCGTGAACTTCTCTGCCAAGGGCAATACCCTACCGCAGCGCTTCTCACCCTGACTAAGTCTGCAACCCTTTAATGCAGTAGTCCATGGTGACCCTATCACCCTGACTAAGTCTGCAACCCTTTAATACAGTAGTCCATGGTGACCCCAACCAGAAAGTTATTTTGCTGCTACTTCATAACTGTAATTTTGCTACTGTTATGAAGTATAATGTAAATATCTGATACACAGGTTATCCTCTATGTGACCCCTGTGAAGGGGTCGTGGCCCACAGATTGAGAAGCACTGCTCTAGACCTTTTACCCCGGGGAACTTTCTGGAGGGATGTTTAGCTACATGCATCCAAAGCTTTAGAAATGTGTGTAGACTTTGTATAAACACTTTCTTCTAGGAACAGATTAAAAGAAAGAATTCAAAATGTGCCAAAAGACAATATAGAAGCTGGATTTGGTGGTATTTAAAACTGAAATATTAGGAAAGAGAATTTTTTTTTTTTAAGACAGGGTTTTTCTGTATAGTCCCTGGCTGTCCTGGAACTTGCTCTGTAGACCAGGCTGGCCTCGACCTCACAGAGATCCGCCTGCCTCTAACTCCTTAGTGCTGGGATTAAAGGCATGTGCCACCAGTGCCCAGTTGAGCATTATTTTTTGACAGAAAATGAACTTAATTACTTTATAATAGGTTATAAAGTATGGTACAGCAAACCTTTCATCTGTGGTTTTACTTTTCACAGTTTCATTTACCCACAGTCAACTGTGGCTTCAAAATATTTTTTTAAGTTTATAAGTAAACAATGAATAGATTTTAAGCTTTACACTGTCCTACCATGTTGTGCCCAAGGCTGTCATGGCTAGCGGTAGTTGTCAACCTTACCAATCTATGTAGAGGAACTCAATTGAGGCACTGCCACCCTGGCTGGCCTAGGAACATGTCTCTGGGGCATTTTCAGTTGCTAATTGATATAAGAGGATGCAGCCCACCGTGGGTGGTGCAATCCCTAGCAGGCGGGCCTGGCTGTAGAAGAAAGGTAGCTGAGCAAGCCAGAGGGAGTAGGTCATAGGCAGTGTTCCTCCACGGCTTCTGCTTCAGCTCCTGCCTGGGCTTCTACTGACAGCCAACTGTATCTGTAATCCAAAGAAAGTCTTTCCTCCTCAAGCGGGCTTTGGTCAATGTTTTATGAAGTTAGAACAAGGACAAGACTTACCCTTTCGTAAGCTACTTTAATTGTTGAGAAGCTTTCTCAGTTATAAGATTAACTGTCACAGTATCACAGACCTGTGTTCAATTAGCCCTTACTTAATATAGTAATTGCTGTCTTGTTATTATCAGTGTTACTTTCTTAATCTAATTTACAAACTAAACTTTACAAAGGTATTTATTATTAGAAGGAAAAAAGGCAGCCTATATTGTGAGCATTTGACACTGTCTTTAGTTTTGGATACCCACTGGGGGATGTGGCACACACCCCTTGCGTGAAGCAAATTCCTGTGTGGATAAATTATGAGATGCCATGAATCACTAAAATATGGCAAATGCAGGTAAACAAGGGGAGATGTTTAAGTTTCATCAGGAACCTGTGAAAATACAAGAGATAAGGCAGAATGCTCTAAGAATTTTTAACTATGTAGTAGGTGTCATATAGAAAGCTCATCTCAAAACAGTATTGAAAGCGATGGCATTTTTACCCAAAATAGAACTGTGAAAAAGCACATATTTGTTAAAATTCTACAAGGATTTTTATCTCTGTGGAAAGAGGAATATTAATCCATGCTTTAATTAATCCTAAAGATGTATTTGTGTGTTTTTGCAGGTCTTTTCTGCATGTCCATCTGCACATCAGAAGAGAGCATCGGATCCCACGGGACAACAGTTGTGAGCTGCCCTGTGGGTGCTGGGAACTGAACTTGGGACCTCTGGAAAGCAGCCAGTGCTCTCACCTGTTGAGTCAGCTCTCCAGCCCACTTCAGAGTTAAGAAAACTCTTAGGGAAAAACAAGTTTTTCTTCTCTCTGTCTGTCTGTCTGCCTCTTTTTCTCTCTTGTAGAAACCTTGGGAAACTCGTGTTTTTCCAGAACACCTTTACTAAACAGCTCTTGGATCACTATAGTAGTTTAAAGTGGGGTCAGCACAAATGAAGAATTTATGGTCTAGTCATACAGTGGACTATTATATAATAATAGCTACATACAGAATAACATTGTGTCACACAATTTTAAACATATGATGCTGTCCATGAACACACACACTATGGGCTGTTTGTCACACAGGTATGAGGACCTGAAGTTCAAATCCCAAGCACCTACATAAAATCCAAATGCAGTAGTGTGGGTCTGTAATATACCATGGCTCCTATGATGAGATGGATGGAAGAGACAGAAAAGTCCCAGAAGCTCATGGGCTGGCTAGCCAGGCATGTACAACAATGGACAACAGACGGAAAATGTGTTCTCTGACCTCCACAGATGCACTGTAGCAAGTATGCAAATGTATTCACACATGAATACATACAGATATACACGTGCATACACACAAAAAGTTCCTTTTAAATTTCTATGCATGTGTGTGCTCCTGTGAGTTTATGTGCACCAGGTGCATGCAGGTGCCTGTGGAAGTCAGAAGAGGGCATCAGATCCCCTGAATCTGGAGTTGTCATCTGCCACATGGGCGCTGGGAACCAAACTCAGATCTTCTGCAAGAACAGTAAGTGCTCTTAACTGCTGAGCGATTTCTTTAGCCCCACAAGACAAAAAACAATTCAAGAATCATTTCAATTTTAGAAGGCAGACAAAAGGAGCTGGGTGGTGTTGGCGCACGCCTTTAATCCCAACGCTTGCGAGGAAGAAGCAGGCAGATCTCTGTGAGTTTGAAACTAGCCTGGTCTACAAGAGCTAGTTCCAGGACAAACTCCAAAGCTACAGAGAAACCCTATCTCGGGGGTGGGAGGGGGAAGGCAGACAAAAGGCACATCTATATTGTTTAGGGGGTAAAGCTTGAAAGAAAAATAAACAGTGCTTTTGAGATGGGTGTAAATGGAAGTTGTATTAAGTGAAATAAAACACACAGACCCAGAGAGCATCCTATGTATTTGCTCAACTGTGGGTCCTAAGTTTTACATAGCTACAGAAAATCACTTATGCATTACATACATATGACACCAGAACCAGACTAGTGGGAACGAGAAAAAGGGGAGGGGATTCGGTGGGGCGCAGTGGCACATGCCTTGTAAGTTCAAGACTAGCACAGTCTACCTAGACAATTCCAGGTTAGCCAAGGTTATAGTGAGACCCTATCTCAAACAAAAACAAAAAATGGGAGCAGGGCAGTGGTGGCACACACCTTTAATCCCAGCACTCGGGGAGGCAGAGGCGGGAGGATCTCTGTGAGTTCAAGGCTAACCTGGTCTACAAGAGCTAGTTCAAGGACAGGCTCCAAAGCTAAAGAGAAACCCTGTCTCAAAAACAACAACAACAGCCGGGCGGTGGTGGCGCACGCCTTTAATCCCAGCACTCGGGAAGCAGAGGCAGGCGGATCTCTGTGAGTTCGAGACCAGCCTGGTCTACAAGAGCTAGTTCCAGGACAGGCTCCAAAACCACAGAGAAACCCTATCTCGAAAAAACCAAAAACAACAACAACAACAACAAAACAAACAAACAAACAAACAAAAAAACAATGAGACTGGCAAGGTAGCATGTGACTGAATCCCAACATTTAAAAGGCAGAGGCAGGAGGATCTTTATTAGTGTGAGGCCAGCCTGTTCTTCTAGTGAGTTCTGGGACACACAGGGCTACTAGTGAGATTTCGTATCAATGATGATGATAATTATTTTAGACAGGCTAGGCACATAGCTTAATTTGTGGAGTGCTTACTTCGCACACGCAACGATTTGCCTAGCATACACCCTGGGTTTGATCTCTACCATAAAACAGTCGTGCTGATGTACCCTTGCAATCCCAGTACTTTGGAGGTAGAGGCTAGAGGGTCAAAAGCTGAGGTGTCCTCAGGTATATAGGGAGTTCAAGCCAACTTGGGGTACTTGATACCTTGTCAAAAAAATTGTCAATTAAAGTGTGGCTATCCACGAGAAAGGGAACTTGCATAAGTAACTCCTTGTTTCTGAAAGATGAAACTGTGTATTTTGTATCTTTTTCTTACTGGTGTTCTATTGCCATAATAAACATAAGAGGAAAGACAAATGTAATTGATGCTGAGAAGCAGAGATGCCAACTGGAGGAGGTTTGTACTGCCTCTCACCCTTCTGCCCCCCCCCCAGCTCCTCCGTGGGGCTCACTTACGCATCTCCCAAGAAAAGGTTGGGCCAGACTTCATTGATGTGGGTCAGTGTGGCGTTCCGACGGACCCACAGCAATCGCTGCAGCGAGGCCAGCGTGGGTGGCTGGTAGGAGGACACCTGGACTGCCCCATGAATCTTTGGCCTCCGAAGGTCCTGCTTCTGCAGTGAGTCCATCCTGGAACAGAGTGGCCACGACAGCTGCTGGAGCAGACTCCCCAAGGACGGATCCAGTGGCCGGGGTGGGGTGGGGGCTGTGAAGCAGTACCAGGAGCCCCTGGGAGGCTGTGGGGCCAGTCTCAGCTATGCTGAATGAGGCTAGAACCTAGAACCTGTTCCCTGGGAACAAGGAGAACTAGAATTCCCTTGTCAATGCCATGGCGCCAAGTAGACCTTTCCTGAGGCTGTGGATGTTAGAAACTTTGGCCTTGGGGACCTCTGTAGGACAAATCAGTACAGAGCTTATACCTTAAGCTGCTGGAAACCCCGGCTGGTTGAGGCTCTCAGAAAGCACCTGGGATGTCCCTCCAAACCCAGGCAGCTCAACCCCCACCCCTGCTGTCCCTAGGTCTGGGCCTCAAACCCCCACTTGCAGGTGCTTGATCAGAGCATTGTCCAGGGTCAGAGTAGTCCAGCTACAGGCTTGCACTGGTGAGCTGGGGCCTCTCATACGCAGAATGCCTCACTTGTGCTCTGTCCCTCGTTTTCCACGGAGGGACACTGGTGCCCAGAGTGTCAATTGAGTGACATTCAAAGACAAACAGCTGATGACAACCCTGGGGTTGATAACCACTTCCGAGTGACTTCAATTCCTTCCCCAAACCCTCCAATTGCCAGGGGGTGGTCACCAACATATGTGTCTCCTGTAGGGGGCCTGTCAGGGCTCAGCTACACATCTGCCTACAGGCCCCAGGCTTTTCCTCCTTACCCCCGTGACTCGGGCCAGTGCAGCTGTGCAGGCCTCACCCGGATAGGGTGGGCTGTGTCTGGAGTCAGCTGGCTCAGGTCATCCGGGACCCTGCAGAGCTGGGGTGTCAGAGGAACCAGAACCCGGGCCTGGTGCCGTAGAGGGAAGGGGGACCTATCTTGGCCAACTTCCCCTGGTTCCCTCAAAGAGTAACTAGAGAAGGTACAGACTGGGTAAAGCATCTTTTCCTTCTGGTAGGCAGTGCCAAGACGGGAAAAGGAAACAGGCACCCAGGAGGCCACTGGCTTGGCCAAGCTCACCCAGCGGGTGGATGGTGAGCTGGGAGGAAGTGAGGACCGGGCTTTCTCCCTCATCCCCCACTGTGACCTCTCAGGGCAGGCTGAGTGGCCTGCCACCTACCTAGGGCATGGTCTGGGGCCAGGAATGGGGGACTGGGTGCAGGGACGGGATTCTGTATGTGAGTGGAACAGTCCTAATGCAGATTCCGTCCAGAACACAGACGCTGTGAAGCGGCTAGAATTCCAGGTCCATGCACTCGAGCCAATGGGGGCTGGGGGTAGGGGAGAGCAAACCTGGGCTCCTTGGACTGACCAGTGCCCCTTCTCCCTGGTGTCTCTGGCACTGAAGATATACATCCCTAAAACCCTCCTGAAGATGCGGGACCAGTTGAAGAGGTACCTAGAGAACAGACTTAAAACTTGGCCAGGATACATTCTGTAACCTAAGCAAGTTTTCATTCCTGTCTTGGCCCGAGCTTCTCATGTGAAAGATTGGTGGGGTTGCCTGACTTCTATGGATTCTCTGGTATTTTGTGGGCTGTAAGAGACAGGAGTGATTCTACATGAAGTAAAGCCAGACCAAGGGACATTGGGTTGGAGGGGACCCCTGGAGTCCAGAGGAGTCCAACAGTCACTCTGGTCTGGAGCCACCATGTAGACTGCTCCAGCTCTGAGTGGAAACAGACAGGAATTTTGGAAAACCACAGGCCCCTCACAGGCCTGCTAAATTTGGCATGAGGTAAGGCTGCCCCCTGGTGGTCAGTGACTGCCAGGCAGCACAACTGTGCCCCAGGAACCATGTCAGGGGTTTAGAGGCAGTTTGTAGCCTTCCATGTCTAACCTAGATCTGTAGGGAAGGTTATTCTTGGACTTAGGGTCTCATTGTCAAGTCATACTTAGGGCCTTACTTCTTGTGCTCAGGTGTCTGGAGCCCAGCTAACCGCTCAGGTCCACTGAGGGATCTGTCAGTCAGTGACCCATCCCTTAAGATTTATCCCCTACCCTCACCCCCAAAGGCAGCCCGGGGACTCAGTTCCCTTGATTCTTGCTGCCTCTTAGTTTACGGAGGCCCCCACTTGACACTGACTTGTACATCTCGGCCATGTCAAAATGAGACATGGCTGAATGTCCGTCCTGTAAGAACAGGCCTGTTCCTTCACACTCTTCACAACAGGGAGCTAGCTACTCCCTGTTGGTACCTGGCCTCTGCTTCCCCGTAGCTTCAGCAAGCAGCTGCCTCTGTGGGCAAACACTGCCGCTGTTTACAGGACTACACACTTGTTTTCTGTTGGCCTCAGTATCGCTCATCTCTGCGTGTTCTCCGCTGCCTTCCTCCACGTTCTCCCAGGACCCACAGCCTTCTAGAATATCACCCTGTATGCCCACAGCTTCAGGCCGCCTGGGGACAGGGCTGTTGTTTGCTGTGACCCCAGGACACGTTCCTCCTGGTCTCCCCTGCTGTCCTCTCTCTGCCTCCCCTCTCCCCGAGGGGAGCACAGGCCAGGTGGGGATGATGGAGTTCTCACTAGAGAATATTGAGGAGTCTGGGAAAGGGACCTTGGGGACCATGGCAGGCAGATGCCAAGGGTGAGCCTGTGGTGGTCTCTGCCCAGCATGCATCCCTGCACCCCTGGAGGAAGATGGGCCGGAGAGTCTCTGAGCCTGAATCTTCACTGGGGGCTGCTGGAAGAAGACGCCCATGACATCATCAACGATATACGCCTCCTAGACTCAGTGCATCATGGGAGATGCCCTGTGAATGGAGCATCAAGTTATTTCTGTTGTTGTAATCACTCTCATTCTTTCAGGACTCAGCAGAGCCGTAGTGTGGCGAGGTCGCTACCGTCGACAGAGGTTTCCCCTGGATCTCTGTGCTTCTTAAGGAAACACATTACAGACCAGACAGAGCCCAGAAGTCACATCTTCCCGAGTCCACAGAGTACTCTCAGGAAGCAGGCAGTATGGATCTCCCCACTTTTCTGATGAGAAAACCGAGGCTCAGAGAAATAAAGTAGTAGGCCCAAGATCACATAGTGGTGAGAGGCCACGTTCTGAGCCTCTGGCCCATTTGGACCTCCAACCCAATCCTCACAGTTGCCCAACACACATAACATAGGCAGAGGTGCTCTGGGCACCACTACCCAGCATTTCCAGGGGCCCCTGGGTTAGGGCCATTGCACCCACCTGTGAGGAGATCCTGCCCAGGCTGTAATCGTCTCTGGCGGACAACGTGGACTGCTGGCTTCCAGTCGCCTGTCTCTGCACACTTGATGCTGTTTCTATTTTTTGATTGGAGTTTAATTATAAAGCATGCTGTCCTCTCCCTTCTGCTTCCCCCCTTGCCACTCCCTACTCATCCACTGGTCCCAGGGAATGGTCAGTCCCAGGCCTCAGTCTTAATGTTAGGCACACAGGAAGCTCAGAGGGGTTGCCTGTGCTGTGTGGCATGAGGTGGCAGGGCGGGGAGAAGGAAATATCAAGCAAACCATCTTTCAAATTCCCTTTAGAAGCTGGGCGATGGTGGCACACGCCTTTAATCCCAGCACTCAGGAGGCAGAGGCAGGCGGATCTCTGTGAGTTCGAGACCAGCCTGATCTACAGAGCTAGTTCCAGGACAGGCTCCAAAGCCACAGAGAAACCCTGTCTCGAAAAACCAAATAATAATAATAATAATAATAATAATAATAATAATAAAATAAAATAAAATAATAAAAGCAAAAAAAATTCCCTTTAGAGCCAGAGAGTGGTGGTGCACGCCTTTAATCCTAGCACTACCTAGATAGAAGCAGACAAATTTCTGTAAGTTCAAGGACAGCCTGGTCTATATAGTGAGTTCAAGGACAGCCTGGTCTATATAGTGAGTTCTAGGAAATCCTGTTTTTTTTAAAAAAAAAATCACATAAAACAAAACAAAAAACTACTCCCTACAGGGCTTTGGAGGTGTTTGTTTAGTGGAACAGTAGTGGTTGAAGCCCCGAGTTCCATTCCAGCACTATCCAAAAGAGACAGACAGACACCCCCTCCAACTCCCTTGACTTTCAAAGGTTACCCAAACAAGGGCAGAAGAGCTGAAAAGGTATATGCTGAGGACAGAGATGACACTCAAGGCACACACAGGTGGCATGGCGAACATCAGCACATAGGCCTAGAAGTCTCTATCTGGGGGTAACTAGCCCAGGACTAAGGTCTGGCAGACGCAGTGCAGGTAACCCAGACAAAGATGTAGGGGACTACCAAGCGGGTTCATGTGCTCAGAGCCTTTATCTGGGAGCAGCTCTTCCCTTCACGGCCTTCTCCCTTTCTCAAAGATAGGGATGCCAGGGGTATGCCTAGTGATAGCCCACTGCATTTGAGATTAAATCCTCTCCTTTTAATCCAGATGCCCTAGCCATACACCCATATCATAATATCCCCAGCCCTACCACACACACACTCCCTCAGCCTTTTATACATAGAACTCCTGGGAGCTAAGACTCAACCACTGCTGGAGAGCTGGAGAAAACATTGAGAATCATCCTCCTTGGCCCACCAGGGACCTTGGGGACCCCTGTTCCAGAACCTCAGAGCTTGGCTGACAGCCCACTCCCACCTATGAAGACTGAAGCCGGCAGCTGTAAGGGTGTGCAGAACACTGGAGGAAGCCGATGAAGCAGCAGGTTTGAGGGTGAGCCCCACCCTGGGCCCTTTCCATCCTGTGGGCATCCACCTGGGCTAAGGCTGCCAATAGGGCCAGGGCCAGGGCCAGAGCCAGAGTGGCAAAGTGGCAGAGCCTTGTGACTGAGGATAACGACTGGCTCTGGAGAAGAGAGAACCTTCACGTTACAGGCGGGCAAACCAAGGCCTATACTGACTGGGGTGTGTCAGCACAGGGGCCAGAGCTACTACCTAACCTCCTTCACCCTGAGTTCTGTGTATAAGACCAAGTAGCTAGAGGTGCCAGGAGAAATGAGGAGAACAGAGATGGCCTCTCTGCACAGGCCTCAGCTGCAGGGTTGCTGGGCACAGCTGTACTGTCTGGAGGCTCTCATGACAGAGGCGATTTTGTAGATGTCATTTCTACAAATTGGGCAATGGTGTAGCTCTGTTCAACCAACTTCCCCCAGACCAGCTGTCTGATGGGCAAGATGTTGAGGTTGGAGGCCAGGGTGTCTGAGACTCCAGGCTAAGGAAGTAGAGCGACTAGGCATGCCGCAAAATCTGCTGCTGTCGCATTTCTCGCGCCTGTCTAAAGGGGATGGCACAGCAGTGGACCTGCCGTCGTGGGGGACACATTTCTTGGTGACTAACACCAGTCACTGCAGAGGAAGTGCAGGGGCCCGGACTGGCTCTGCTGCTGGCTGGGAATTTGGTAAGTCTCACAGGCTCTTAGGAGGGACTGGGTAGCCCTCAAAAGCATGTAGGGAGGCCTTCCCTACAGCACATAGAGCTTCTTAACCCTAACCATCCTTCCTCATCTCTCTCTTTTACTCTCTCGCCCTCTGGCCATGTGTGCACACTTGTTTGAATATTTGAGTACCACAGTGTAAGTGGAGGTCAGAGGTCAACTTCAGGCATTGATGCTTTGCCATCTACCTTGTTTGAAGCAGGGTATCTTGTTTTGTTGTTGTTGATGTGTTTTTCCCTTCATATACCAGGTTCATTAAGTTCCGGGGTTCATTTGTCTGTCTCCTATCGCCTTGTGTGAGTTCTGGAGAGTCAGGCTCGGGTCCTCATGCTTGTGTGGCAAGGGCTGTTACCCGCTAAGCCATCTTCCACATTTCTCTGTTCTCTGGAGAGCTAAAGAATTCAGGCGGGAGGACGGCCTGGCAGGCCCTGGACAGGCAAGGGGGCCTAGCAGCTCGGGACACCTCCAGCCGCAGGCGGCCCTGCCAACCAGCTTCCCGTCCAGGTCCTCAGCTGATTTCTCACTGCCAGCCACACTCAGCTTTGCCTCCTCGCCCTTCCTTACCGGGTTCCTTAGCTCTGGCCTGCACCCCGCAGTTGCTGGTCCAACTGGCGGAGCTGGCGGAGGAAGCCGCGGTTGGGGAAGATCCACCGGTGCTGACTTACCGCAAGGACTGCCTGCCTTAAGGAGAGCTGCTCATGCAGCATGAGGTAAGCCAGGACCAGTGTGGCAGAGCGGCTCACACCCACCACACAGTGCACGAGCACCTTAGCTGGAGGAAAAAAAGACTTCAGGCGATTGACTCCTTCCCACCAGCCAGCCCACCCAAGGGGTGGTACCCAAGCACAAATTCCATTCCCCAAAACCTGCCGTGGGTGCATTATGGGGCCCTGTGCAAGTGTCTCAGCCTTTCTGAGCCACAGTTTCCTGATCTTTCAAGAGTAGACTAACACCTGTGTAGAACTACAGACCAAACCCTCAGCGTGACTTACAGGTGCCTTGGAGGCCAGGCGGTGGTGGCACACAGAGGTGTACTCAGGAGGCAGGGCTAGGCAGATCTCTGAGTTCAAAGTCAGCCTGCTCCACAGAACTGGTTTCAGGACAGCTAGGGCTACTTAGAAAAACACAGAGGTCTCGAAAATAAAAACAGACCAAAACAAAAGCCCCTGAGAACTAGCCATTCTCCATTCTGAACCTGCCTTGATCCTCAGCTCTATGAGTACAGGAAGACTTTCGGTGCCTTGGAGCTGTCGTGGCCTTTGACCTTTCCTCTGATCTCGGTCTGACTAGCCCTTACTCATCCATCAAGTCACACTCAGACAGGGCTTCCCTATCAGCTTTCCTCACCACTCTAAACACAGCACTTGAGCCATTGAGCAGCTAGTCCGGTCTGCATGTGCCTAGGGAAGCCGCCGCAGAGACCAATCCCCGACGCGTGGTCCATCTGCCCTCTCACGTCAGCAATGCTCAGAGCACATCACAGTTTGATTAGCAGGTTCTACAAGAGCAGGTCTGGCTTCCTAGAATTCAGTGCTTCCCCTGACGCAGAGTGAATAACGACTAGGTGATGGATGGGCAGATGAAGAAAGAGAGGATGTCACAGTGCTCTGGCTATTCCAAAGTAACGTGACCTTGACCCAATCCCTCATCACAGAACAATGAGGAAACGAAACCCCGGAGGACACTGACTTGTCCAGGGTTACAGAGCAAGGGCCATGGCTCTTTCCCCAGATGAATATACAGTAAGGGCTCCGAGGCCTTTCAAGGCCTGTTGTATCTGGGTGCTTTGTTTTGTTCATTTGGAGGTAGTTTGGGGCAGACCTCTGGGTACCATGTGGTGCTTTCCCAGGGCTGCCCGTTGTGGAGTAAGAACTGTTCAGGTGACTGCGAGATCTAGCTTCCAGCTGTGCGGCGGCTTCTAATTTATTATGCCTTGGTATTTGGGCTTTCTCCACCTGATCTGTTTTTTGTTTGTTTGTTTGTTTTTGGTATGGGTTCTCTGTGTTGCCCTGGCTATCCTGGAACACAATCTGTAGACCAAAGTGGTCTTGAACTCACAGAGATGTACCTCTGTCTCCCAAGTGCTGGGATTAAAGATGTGCACCACCGCTGCCCAGCTAACTTTCCCCATCTGTGAAGCAATGTCATTAGCTAAGATGCTGAGGGATAGAGCAGAAGATTGTTAAAACAACAACAAAAAAGAGAAACAAACAAAGCAGAAACCAGGGATGGGAGGATGCTGAGGATGGAGGGAAACTGGCTATTCTCCCCACAAGTGAGCAGAATCAAATATGTAGTCCGTATCACGTACCCCCAGGTGTGTTGAGGGCATGGTGGATGAAGTCAGCTGCTGAGGAGAAGTAGGTGCTGATATTGAAATCGGGGAGGTCATGTGCTGGTACCCCCAGGTAGCTCACACTGCTGCCGTAGAAGTCAGGGCCTCCCTGACAGTAGAGTCCCCCATGGGCGGCGTTCAGCACATGGGTGATCCCCAACTTCCACAGCTCAAAGCGGTTATTTGCTGTCACCCTGGGAAGGGCAGAAAGGAGACTGGATGTGGGCTGAGCCTCTGGCTCGATTTGGGGAGCGTATAAGGGTAGAAAGGTAGCTAGAATTCATCTGCATTGAGCTGGGCCTGCAACTCTCCATCCCAGAACTTTCTGTTGGCAGAGCTGGTGGTGCCAGGGTTATGTTTAAATCCCTTTTGCTGTCTTACGCAGCTTGCTCCCACCAAAGCCAGGAAGAGATTGCTTCAGCCCCAGAGAACTGGCTGCCCCTCCCTTCTTGCCACAAGTCCTCTGACTCACGTACGTGATCTAGAGTCACTTGGTCACCACGTCATACCTGCTACTAATCTACAAATATTTAGAAGTGACACCTTTCCTGATTCATCCTAGGTCAGGCTGCTCCACCCACTCAGTGTCTACAGGACGCAAGCTGGGACCAGAACTATGATCTGTGGCTACTCCATTTCATATTCCAAACGTGATTGCTTCCCAGCCTGGCCAGTTGTCTAGGATGTGCCTGAAGAAGACCCAGGGGATCTCCTAGGCAGGAACTCCCTCAGACCTTCCCAAGAAACAAACCGAAAACACTCAAGCTCCCTCTGCTGTTAGAAACTGGTCATTGAATAGCTCCGGGCGCTTAGGGAGTCAGGAGGAAATTCCTGGCCTGGGGTGGACCAGAAGTAACTAGTTCTTGTTCCTTCTCGGCCACCTCGGCTGGTAAAGAGTTCTAGGATTGTTTCTTCTTGACCTACTCCTACAACCCTGCCAGCAGCCACTCACGCATCTCCTATGAAAAGGTTGGGCCAAACTTCGTCCACACGGCTGCAAGAGGCTCTCCCCGCCCTCAGGAGCTCTTCGAGCTGCAGGACACTGGGGCAAGGTGTGGCTTCTACTTCTTCCCCTGGCTTTGGGATGGAGGCTTCAGCCATGGGCCAGCCTGCCTTCCCCTCTGCCTCTGCTGTCAGCTCCGTCTTCTCTGCCCCCTGGTGTCATGTCTCCTTCCCAAAGATTGGCAGTAACAGGTGAGACAAAGTGACTCAGCAAGTCCCAGGGGCCTCCAAAGAGGACAAGACCTATTTCTCTTGTGTCAACTCCCATTCTTAATGTCTCTGAGAACGTGGAATTAGACCCCAACAAGTCACTAGCTTTCTCCACCTCCACCAGTTTCTTCAGTGAACTTAAGTATACACTTGCCCTGGAGGTGTGTTGTTTCAAGGGTTAAGCAAAAGGTTCACTGTGTCTAGCATACAGTAGCTGTTTTGAAATAGTTTAATTCATAGGTTTAGAGCCCTAGCACAGGTTATTAGGTTCTGAGGACAGAGTTAAAGCACCCAGTGATGAATGTTAGAAAAGAGCTTTGCAGGTCCAAGTGGGCTACACACTTTGTGGGACCCAATGTCACAGGATTGGAGCCTACGGCAGTGGAACTCGGGGATAATGTCTGAGTTGTGGGGTTAGAAAAACTTAGGGAGACATGGAGGAAAGCATCTGAAGTGTGCCCAGAAAATGCACATGAAAGATCTGAATGATGATTCTATAGCGAAGATAGTTAATTTCTTTTTCTTTTTCTTTTTTTTTTTTAGGTTTTTCGAGACAGGATTTCTCTGTGGCTTTGGAGCCTGTCCTGGAACTAGCTCTGTAGACCAGGCTGGTCTTGAACTCACAGAGATCCGCCTGCCTCTGCCTCCCGAGTGCTGGGATTAAAGGCGTGTGCCACCATTGCCCGGTCCAATTAAAAATATTTTATTGGTACTGGAGAGATGACTCAGTGGTTAGAAGCACAGACATACATGCAGGCAAACACTGAGACATAAAATAAGTTTTAACATGGTTTTGAGTGCCTGCATCTGTGTGTGTGTCACACGCACTCAGTGCCAGCTGTGGCTAGAAGACAGTGTTGAATCCTCTGGAATCAGAGTTCTAGGAGGTTGTGAGGTGTCATGTGGGGGCAGGGGATTGAATCTGGGTCTCCTGCAAGGGCAGCAAGTGCTCTAACCACTGAACTACATGTCTACCTCCATCAGAAACATTTTGGGGATGGGAGAGTCCTCTGCCTACAATGGATGTCTTGCCGTCTCATGTGGCTTCATGGAGGCCCTGAAGGGTATGAGGGAACTGAACAGATTCCTGGCCGCCCTGCTCTTGGAGTCTGGTTTGAAGGGAAAGGCCACACCAAGGCGGCACCCATGTCTACCCTTCTATCACTTCAGAACCTGCCCCCAACCCCTTTAGAAACAACAAAGCTGGTCCTGCATTGTTCAAGGAAGTAGAGCCAAAGACGACCTAAAATTCAAGTTGTAGATGGCTTTAGACATGGTTTCTGCCAGCCCTAGGCTTGGGTTAGAAGGGGACATTCTGTTAGGTAGAGTAGTGGCAGAAAAGAACACAGGTTCTGATGACAACTGGGGGTTGGAATACCAGCTTGGAAACATATTAACTGTGCTGTGTCAGGCTACAGTGTTTCTTGACCTTTCTGTGTGTGAGAGATCTGCTTTGCATAGTTGAAACAATGATTGCGATTACAGTCAGATTGCATAGACACAGTCAGAATAAAGGAGCAATAATAGTGTTACGTGGGGGCTGGATGAAGAGGAGCTAGCCCCTTTAAAGAACTCAGAATCGGCTCCCACTAGGCCCTTACCCCAGTCAGCAACCCCACTGGAACTCTCCCACCTTCATTAAGACTCCTTGGCTGCCTATGGTTGGCTCTGACGCGTGCGCTTTCGCCTCCCTTCGGGTTTCCCGGTTCCCTTCCGGTTTTGTCCTCGCCCCTTCTCCGATACGCCCCGCCCCCCGAAGCAGTTCCGGTTCGGCTGGCCGCTGCTGGCGGCGGGTCGCCGACGGGGCCGGAGCGATGCCCGCGCGTAGCCGAGCTGGCTCCAGCCTGCGCTCCGGCTCCCCTTCCCGGGCTCTGCGTCTGCCGCTCGAGGCGCTGCGCTCCGCCGACGCGCCGAGGACCCCGGACGCCAGCTCCGAGCTGGGTCCGGACAGCTCGACTCCCACCGCGGAGGTGAGCGGGCTCCGAGGCTGAGGAGAGGGGAGATTGGGGGGCACCTGCTGCCAAGGGTGAGTGAGAGCCGGGGACGCTGGGGACCGCGGGGAGACGGTTGGGGGCGCCGGGGTAGGCCGCTCTGGAATGGAATCCGGAGGAAGTCGGGCAACGAGGGGCGAGGCTCAGGGGCCTTGCAGCCCCGCTGGTGAAGGAGGGACGTGCGAGGGGTCCCCGGAACCCGGACGCGGAGGAGGAGGCGCCCTGGGCTATTGCCGTGGGTGTGAGGAATGGGAAGAACTGGCCCCGGGCCGCCTGAAACCGGCGCAAGGGCAAGGCAGCCGGGTGGGGACTGACAGCCACCTGACCCGGTGGGAATGGTGGCTTTGAAGGGCCGGGAGTTAGGGTTGGCTGGAAAGAGGGAGGGGTAGGATGGGAAGTCTCTTGGTCTAAAGGTTAGAAAGAAAAAGTCCAGGAAGAAAAATGAACCCTTGGGGGATGACTTTTTCACAGGAAAGTGGCGTTCAAGGCGCCGAAGATCTCTGGGTAGTGGATGTGGGCTATACGGCTCTCTTGTTGAGGAGCGGGTATGCATCACCTATTCGCGTCCACGGACAAGGGAGGCGAATGGAGAGGAAGTGATGTTAGAAGATGGTAGTGATTTCTGGAAATAGAGATGTCACTCAGATTTCTTCTGACGCGAGTGGTTTATTCTTTTTCTTTGTGCTTTCTTGAGACGGTTTAGATGTCGGACAAGTTTAAATCTTAAGAAAGGATTTAATACATTACTTTCCAGTTTTAAAGATTAAACCTGCAAGAGGGTTTTGGATTCTTGGATTTTCAGATAATAAGTGAAAATTGTTAACACTTGCGTACGGCTTGAGTTGACCCGCAGATTGCCACAGGGTGGAAATATGGTCCCAGGAGATTCCTGGGTTAAGAGGACATATGCCAACAGTCCAGGAACCTACAGGATCTTCCTATTGGTAACTCCAGGGTTAGGGTTCCCTTGTAAAAAATTTGAGGGGTAATTTTGACAACTTTTTCAGGGCCAGTATTCTATTTTGCAGATTTTTGCATTAATGATATATTTTTTTCTATAGTGCTCTAGAAAAAAAGAGGGTAGTAAAGGGAGGTTATAGCTGGCAGCTGACAGAAGGAACAGGTGCTTTTTCTAGAAGACGTAGTACCAAAGTCGTAATTCTGCCAGGAAAGTATTGATCCCAAAATTTGTGTTCACTCTTAGTAGAAATAGAACAGTAACGTGGCTCTGTGGAGACTTGGACTTTTAACTGAGGCTTGTGTTTGACTTTTGTGGCTCATCAGGTAGGTTTTGATAAGTTGTTGGACATTTTCAAACCAAGTTTTAATTATTTTCCACTCCAACAAGCATCTACTGCTGAATCGTCATGAGATGATCATTCATTGATCACAACAAGCTTTTAAGTTTGTTTATGTAAATGGACCGTATATCATACCATTGAATGCTCAGTAGAATTAGTAGTTTTCTCAAAGAATAGGTGAATTCTTAATTTTGCTTTTCTGGAGGCTGTCAAAAGGTAAACTTCTTTAGTAAAGAGGATCTTTGGATGAAGGATTTTATGGCACGTTACTGTTTATATTTCTGCTTTTCCTGGCAGACTGGGACCCTTCATCATGTTAGCTCTGGTCTTTTTTTGGAAGCATTCTCGGTGTGTAATACTGGCTAGCCTTTAACTCATGATTCTCCCGTGTCAGCCTCCTGAGTGTTTGGATTACAGGCAGAGGCAGGTGGCTCTCTGAATTTGAGGCCAGCCTGGCCTACAAAAGTTAGTTCTAAGGCAGCTAGGCCAGTTGGTTACACAGAGAAACCCTGTCTCGAAAAAAACAAAACAAACAAGCAAAAAGAAGAAGAATTCTTTGCTGAGGCATCCTACCATTGTCATGAAGGAGTGAAGCTGTTGTATGGGTCCCAGGATTAAAGGTTAGCATGCCTAGTGATGACTGTGTTTTTACTTTGCTCTGTCACTTCTCGCCATCACATAGTTGGAAAGGAAAGTCAGTTTATGGCAGCTACTATAAGTCAGAGGAGCCTTCACTACTGCAGTGGCTGAGTTGGCAGGTGCAGTCAGAGACATGCTTTTGGTAGCATTCTCATTCTGCAGAGCTTCACAGTTGCCTGCAAATGTGTTGGTTTTGTTGTCATGTCTTCAGTACTTGACTGTAACTTGGCTATGGCTGATTGAGACATTGTCATGACTTTCCTCAGACTGTTAAATCCAGATGTTCTAATGGATGCTGGTATTATTTTGTCTTAGGTCAATGCCACATTAAGCTGTAACTTAGTTTTTTTTTGGTTTTTCGAGACAGGGTTTCTCTGTGGCTTTGGAGCCTGTCCTGGAACTAGCTCTTGTAGACCAGGCTGGTCTCGAACTCACAGAGATCCGCCTGCCTCTGCCTCCCGAGTGCTGGGATTAAAAGCGTGCGCCACCATCGCCCAGTTTAAGCTGTAACTTAGTGACAGAGCATTTGCCTAGCATTCAGGAGGCTCTGGGTTCAACCCCAAGCAGTTGGAGGGGAGAGCCCTATTAACCAGCTTGTTAAAAGTCTTTTAAGATTTCTGCCTCCCAGCCTGATGTCTATTTAGTATTGATTGTAGCTAGCCTGGCCATTAACTTAAAGATGTCTTTTCTATTTTCTAATTATGTTTTTTTAAGGTTAACTAGTACTTTTTTTTTTTTTTTTTTTGGTTTTTCGAGACAGGGTTTCTCTGTAGCTTTGTTGCTGGTCCCGGAACTAGGTCTTGTAGACCAGTCTGGCCTCGAACTCACAGAGATCTGCCTGCCTCTGCCTCCCAAGTGCTGGGATTAAAGGTGTGCGCCACCACCGCCCGGCGCTAACTAGTACATTTTCATAGTATGTACTAGATTATGAAGTCTTGGTTCAATGTTTTCTGTTACATTGACTAGATTTGTGATATAACATACAACAATAAAGATTTTAATCTGGGCATGGTGGTTTATACATGAAATCCCGGCACTCAAGACAAACTAAGAGGATTAGGAGTCATGACCAGTCTCATCCCTCTCTTAAAAGTGTGTGTGTGTGTGTGTGTGTGTGTGTTGTGAGAGAGAGAGAGAGAGAGAGAAGAAGAAGAAGAAGAAGAAGAAGAAGAAGAAGAAGGGAGGGAGGGAAGGAGGGAACACGAGAGAGAGAGAGAGAGAGAGAGAGAGAGAGAGAGAATGTGTGTTGTAGTTCAGTTGATAAGAGTTTTTGCCAGTTGTTCAAATCCTGAGTCCAGTTGCCAGTATAAAAAATAAAAATAACAGACTTTATCTGTCAATAAGTCAAACTGCCAGCCTGCCTATACTTCTTAGTTTCACAGACTTACTTACTAGTGTTCTGTGACATAGTGCCAGGTCTAATTAGGCAAACTAATTTATTTGCCACTAAATTTTGATTGCTATGTAAACATTTTTGGCATAGCCTAGGCCACAAACTGTCTGTTACATTTTTACTCATTGAGCTCAATTCTGTATGTGGATAGAATTATGTGCAACTCAATAATGAAAGCTTTGATTTAAAGGTCTGATGAAGCCAGAAGAGATTTGTGCTCCTTTGATACACACGAGAACTCTGGAGTATGAAGTACGTGCTTAGTACAGCAAATATAAATGTGTCTCGGAACTGCAGCCAAGAAAATGGAGCAGATACATTTCCCTGCTTTCTGCTGGTCAGAGGTGGTGTGCAGGCACCATAGAAAGGCCATACCAAGAGACTGGAGTATGCAGAGTAGGGATTGCTTCTGCACCTCTGCACCTGTTTTGCAATGCAGAGTTCCTATGATATGTTTTAGAAGAAACATCCTGTGTTTGCTAAGAAAAAACAAACTATCGTTGAATAAATTTATTTTATTTTAGATTTGTTTTTATTATTTCATGTGTCTGCATCTGTGCACCATATGTGTGCTTATTGCCTGAGGAGGCAGTGAGCCTCCATGTGGTTTCTGGGAATCGAACCCGGATCTTTTACAACAACAAAAAGCACCATTAACCACTGAGCCAACTCTCTAGCCTCTTTCAGTAAATTTAGAGAGAAAAATTTTTATTTGCTCACAGAAAATGCTATTTAGAATTTTCGATTTTTCTAATGAAATAGAAAACAAAGCTTAGAGTGAAGTGACTGTTACAGAATTGTTAATCCTGAAGTTTAGATAGACATCCCAGAGTATGATATGCTGTTTGCTTTTGTAAGCTAGTCTTAGAGTTTTGTTTATGGATATGCAAATTGGTATAATTTGTGTCTGCTGAATCCATAGCACATAGACTGTATTAAATAGGAGTTGGGCTTATTTTAGCCTGCCTGTAGCTTTTAAGAAACTTTGTTTGTTTATTTATCTATTTATGGCAATGTCAACTAAGCCACAGCACCTGGTGGAGGTCAAAAGGAACTTGAGTCAGTTCTCTTCTTCCACCATGTGGGTCCCCAGGGTCATCAGATGTGGCAGCTGGCACCTTTCTCCACAACCACCTCATCAGCCCACAGTGGTTTTGTTTATTTGTTTTGGTTAATAAATACTCTGAATTAATTTTTCCCGAATAATTTGCAACAACTCAAAGAGCAGAAATAAAAGTAAAATTTCTAACAAGCAGTTGCTTTGTCAGATTCAGAACTCTCAGATTCTGGTAGTAATATTTGAAAAATTATCACCTTACAAATGACATCACTGTCCCTATAAGAATAATACACTGTAGCCGGGTGGTGGTGAGACACACCCCAGCACTAGGGAGTCAGAGGCAGGTGGGTCTTTGTGAGTTCAAGGCCAACCTGGTCTACAGAGCTAGTTCCAGGACAGCTAGGGCTGTTACACAGAGAAACCCTGTCTCAACAAAACAAAACAAGAAAAAAACAACACATTGTCTATAAGAGTACCCAACCCTATAAGAGAACAGTACTCTTATTATTTTGTTGTTTCAAAGAAAGCTAGCCATGTCAGCTCTTTAGTCTTAGCTATATCTCTACCATGTATGTACACAACCAAG